CTAGCTGTTAGAACGCTGGCCTTGTAATCCTGGGGTCTCGGGTTCGATTCCCGGCCGTGGCCGAATTTATAACTTGTGTTTGGCAAGGCCGTGGTCTAGGCAACACGGGGTTTTCCTCCGTGGCATCCCCACAATTACTCCATTCACACACAGAAGAAGGCAATGGCAAACCCCTTCTGGATCATCTGCCAAGAACGTATATGAACAGGTCCCAGTCCGAGAAAAGGATGGAAGGATCCTGTTCATATGGACCTGTCGTCAGACAGAATACTAAATAAAATATAAATATTCGTATCGACTTTACTTCAAGTCCAGAGAAACGTTGGTCCAGAGGCGAAGTCCTGTCTCAAACAACCACAACATTTAAAACGCTGAAGATTCTTGAGCGAAACTCACAAGTGACATTTGGACACATTCTGCCCGTCATTGCTGTCCCCCGGTGTCCATTGAATTGGATGTTCAGAATTACTGTTGTCTTTGAGGCAAAGAAACAAATCCTCAACACCACGTTCAGTTATCCACTGGCACTCCGACATGGAATACAACCGCGTCCCATTCACAGCATTCTGCTCTCTAAACATTGTCGGACTGAAGAGGTTCGCTCAAGCCACAATCATGATGTTTTCCAGAGAAATGCTCGCTTCCTATCTCATCCGATACAACGTCAATGCTGACGAAAGTTTACCTAAATCTTCAGTTGATACAGGGTCGTTAAACAACAACCAGCATAATCCTTTAATATCCTATTATTCACTAACGAGGTTAAGGCCTAGATGACAGGAGTTGGATTCCCGGTAGAGTTACTTCTGAAGACTTGAATCCTTCTGCACAAATATTAGTTCTCGATTTGCCCGTTTAACTACTTCAAGGGTTTTGAAATTTAAAACATGGATGAATCAGGAATACTTTTGCTACGCGAACCGGATCGGACAATGTCTGACTCACCTGGAGTCACCTGCCCCATTGTGACTCACTGCGACCTCCTACTTCAGCAGTCACGCAGACGATTTTGAAAGACAACTTCCATGTGTTCAAAGTTAACAGAAACTCCTGCTCGATCTATGGGTCGGACTCCACGAGCAGTCTGGTCTTCGACGCGGACGACTCTGCAACTAGCCCGCCTTATTGAAACAGTCAACAGGAAGTTTGACGAAAGGTTTACCTGGATGTGGCTAAAGCCTTCTACATCTCGAGTGTCAGGATTAATGAACGTGCTTAAATGTTAACTTACCTTTTATTTACTGACTAAATAATTTTTACTCGTGATCGAGTGAATAATACTCAGAAGATTAATTTGTGAGCTACAGCGGATAATCACGTAAGAGTTCAGAGAAACTTGAAACACCGATTATCAATAAACGAGGACATGGCGTACTTGTCTTCATCCCTTAAGCAGACCTGCATTGCCACTCCTTTTTGGAAATGCCACGTGCATAACCACGTGACTGAGCTTGTAATTGTAAAATGATGCTGGTTCCATATCTCTCATTTTGAAATGCATATTTTGGATCATGTTAATTGCAAGTATCCAAACATCTGGATCGACCTAGCAACGCAGATATTCTGTTCTGGCGATCTTTGGAAGCTCGTGAAGGAGCAACGAATTTTTTACGCCGAAGACATTAGAAATAACCAATGGTTCGATAAGAATATAACCACTTCAGTAACAAAAGTTCAACGAAGTCGTGGGCGTCTTATCGATTCTCCAAACAATAGCCCACTCACACCCATTATCCTAAAAACACAAATACAATCTCACTTCATATCATTCTGATTCTAATTTTCATTCTAATTTGTCTCAAAGTTACAGTACTTTCGATACAAAACACAAGATCGTGTACAGAAATTTAAAAAACCCGGAGGATCTAGACATTTACGTGCATCAGACTTTGTCCTTAGTTTATATAACTAAATATCACGTAGTAAAATAATCCTTAATATGAAATTTTTGTCTACGATTACGTGTGTCGTATCATACTGGAAATTAGCACGGACTCAAGATCGAAGAGCCATCTTGTCCGCGGAAGGTTTCCTTCAGATTCATTCGATATACGAGGTGCGATCGGAAAGTTTCAAGACTGTGTCAATAGCGGGCCTTTAGGGGGTGCGGCCTACATTCATAGTGAATCAGTGTGCCAGCCGGCATCATCGAATTAGCATTTGTTTCTTAGTTACGGGCGTTTTGGTAGTGCATTACACCGACCCTCCTGCGATTTCGGAATGGCGTGTGCATCAAATTTTGCCAAAGACTCGCCAAAACGGCTACGGAAACCTATGAAATGCTAAAGCAAGCATTTGGGGAGTCCGCAATGGGTCGTGCACAAACTTTTGTGTGGCATTCACGTTTTAAAAATGGCCGAACCTCTGTCGATGATGACGAGCGTTCTGGACGACCATCTTCGAGCACAACGCCCGAAACTGTTACGAAGATCGACGTCGTACCATCACTTGTACGACTTGTGCGACATTGTTGGGATAGGCTATGGGGCCTGTCAGCTGATTCTAAAGGAAGAACTCCACATGCGACGCATCGCAGCCAAGTTTGTGCCAAGGTTCCTGTCTGAGGACCAGAAGCAGAATCGCCTTGACTTCTCGTTTGTCAGGAGCTCAAAGATCTTGCAAGAACCGACCCCAACTTCCTTTCTAAGCTCTGTGTGACTTCTTCCTCTTCCCAAAGATGAAAATTCAGCTCAAGGGAAGGAGATTTGAGACGATAGGAGAGATTCAGGCAGAATCGCAGATGGTGCTTGACAGGCTGACAAAGAAAGATTTCCAGGGATGCTTCCAGGCTTGGCAGCGGCGCTGGGATCGTTGTGTTCACTCCCAGGGGAACTACTTCGAGGGTGATGGATGAATTTAATACCTGAGATAAGTGTACGGGTTTTTATACGCGCAGTCTCGAAACTTTCTGATCGCACCTCGTACAAATCTTACAGCGCCAAGTGCATAATTTAAAATTATTGAATGACGATGTCGTAAAATACGTCGAAATGTACAAGAAGAAGTTATTCAGTCAAGTGAAATCAAAAAAGTAACAGCAGACTTGTGAACTGCGTGATGTCACATCGCCTTTCAGGGCATCTGTCCCAAGGTGGCGGCTGGCATGTTATTTTGAAACGCACGTTACATAAGCTATCTTGTTGTTGTTGTTGTTGTTTACGTAGGATGTCACGCAATAAGAGAGTCGCTTTCTTCTTTGGCAGATTTAAAAGCTTCACGACTAGACAGAGGACACCAGCGGAGTAGCTAATGCACTGAATGAAAATTTGCCAAAGATTGAAGTATTTGGGAAATAAAGTAACAAATAAGAATTACATTTATGGTTACATTAACGGCAGATTAAATTCGGAAAATACTTTACTAACATTCAATTAAGAGTCTTTTATACAGGGGATGAAACTTTCTCTCTCATCCTAAACAGAAATCATCGACGGAATTTGTTTGAGAATGGAATAGACGAAGAATATTCCATAATGGGGATCTTCATAATTTGTATTCTACATCTGATATCAGACTATTAGAATGGTAGGACGGAAGGGGAGAATATATACGCAGGAATTAATTTAATAATTTTTCGTATTTTATTTACGTAATTACTCGATACAGTGTGACCTCGTTATACGCTCTATAAAGAAGAGAATTTCGTAACTGGCTTCGAATTATTATGATTATCATTATTATTAACTAAATTTAAGCACCAAGGAAACAGATAGCCAAGTCATATGCCCTGAAATCCTTCGTAAATTAGTGAATTTGATTGAATTATTCCCTACGGTGGGAATTGTAACACCCGGTATAATGTTTCACACTCTGGTTCACTGGTATTTGCTTGAATTAACTGGCTTCTAGCACAGTCTGAACAGAGGAGCCGAGATTAGAAAGTAAGTAGGTGACGTACCTCTGATACGATCTGCTGTTACTAATAAACCTCTTCTAAATGACTCTGGTTTGAAACTTGTAAGCTCATGAGTTGCAGACGCCTACCGCATTTGACGGTGCATCGTGAAACTTGTAAGCTCATGAGTTGCAGATGTCTACCGCATTTGACGGTGCATCTGGTGTTACGAAAACATTTGAGTCTGTATGTTAGTTGCCAAGTGATGCAAGAAATTGTGCCAGACGATATCGTAACTCGTAAGGAATTCGCAGTGACCATACTTGAGAAATTTGATGAAGACAACGGATTCCTGATGAAAGTCGTGTTCTCTGACGAGGTTACATTCCACGTCTCAGGGAACGTAAACAAATAGAACTTAAGCATCTGGAGATCAGAACACGCTCGTACTATAATAGAGCACGTTAGAGAGTCTTAGAATTACAGGATATCACACCTGTAATTTTTCCTTAGGAGATACGTAAAAGACTGCGTATTGAACTCCGGTGGATGGTATCAACCATTTGAAGGACTAAACTGTAGCTAATTTTACAGTAGTTGACGTTGATATGCTGTAACGTGCATGGATGGGGCTTGAATATAGTTTGGACATTGTACGTGTGACAAATAGTGTTCATATTGAAAGCGTGTAGTGTTCAGAACAAACTTTAAAGAGTCTCTCTCGCAGATGACTCTCAAAAAGTGTGTCTATGTCTTTTCACAAAGATTATAATCACGACTAAAGTTATAAAGTTGATTTATACACACCCTGTATTATTTCGTAAACACAGCGCAGATTTAAGGGCTCCTACAGTAATCTTCGAAGACGTGGTGTGTTATAAATTTATATGTTTGCACGTTTCTGAACTCTTATAACGGTTTAAAAATATTTTTCTATTAGAAGTGTGATTTACAAAAAAATTTATGATTTGAGATTTTCAGGGCGGTGAGTATGAAGATGGCTCTCCAAGACAGCCGTCCAAGAACTGATATTTTCGCGCCAGTGTAGATCTACACGTCTCCTTCATATGTCAATTAATGATAATGAAATAATTTATTTTTACCTGATTTGTGATAGAGCTGAGTTCCTCTTCGTGTTCGTCAAATGCGCTGGTTTCAACAGGACGGAACTGAACGTGAGGCTTTGCATTCTGCTGGAAACTGAACTCCTGAGAAGAAGGCAGAGGCGGTGGGAAGACAATCGGGGACGGTGCCCTGTTCAGCGACTTCGACCCTGGAATCGGAGACCCCAGGGTTGGCGCTGACGAGTTCACGAATGGCTTGGGGGAGTCGGCGGTGTAAAAAGATGCAGAATTAAAAGGAGTAGGGACTCCTCCTGCCACCGGTGGTTTGACAGGCGTCGCAGCTACTGGTCGGATACCTGCAGCGTTTGATTCTCTGGAATAACGAATGCAGACACTCACATCGGATTTCTTTTTAAAAAAATTTCACATACTTTTAACACGTGTCACTTACAAACACGTGTACTCATATAACTAATTGTTTATTGAGTTACAATCGCATTCCGGTAACCGGATATCCTGTCTATGATCTATTTTCGTGATTTTTCTCAAGCCACCTAAGAAACGCGTATTATATAGGCACAGTATATAATTGTATGTAACCTCAGCGGTTGATATGACGCAGTAAAATAATCGAAGAATTTAATTAACAGTAGCCTGGGGTCCCGGGTTCAATTCCCGGTGGTGCTCAAATTTATAACTTGTGTTGGGCAAGGCCGTGGTCTAGGCAACACGGAGTTTTCCTCCGTGGCATCCCAACAATTACTCCATTCACACACAGAAGAAGGCAATGGCAAACCACTTCTGGATCATCTGCCAAGAACGTATATGAACAGGTCCCAGTCCGAGAAAAGGATGGAAGGATCCTGTTCATATGGACCTGTCGTCAGACACAACACTAAATAAATAAAATAGCCGAGTATTATTTGTCTCTGAACTAGAATGGCGATACGCATTGTAAGTTCCACTAACCCCGAGACAAACACTTCATTTTTACCTGGATAGGAGGAACAATACAATTACAATTAAGCGAGATAAGCAGCCAGAATTCTTAGAGTAGATTAGGAAATCTAAGTTAACCTTTAAGATTATAGAAAGTGGACTGATCTAATAGCATTTGGAATCGGTCGGCTTAACTGATTTTATTATATAATGAATTAATTTTAGATTTAAAATTGTTCATATTTGAACAATAAAAGCAGTATCTTAGACGAGTTGAATCAAATAATTCTTTTGATCTTAGGGTTGGTGGTGACTATATTATATAGTACAGTAAACACCACAAATATTAGCACAGAAAATATCCCTCTCTCCTATCAGATGTCGATATCATAACCTCATTATAAAACTGTTTATCCATTACTAATGGTTAGCAACGGCTCGTGGTAATTGTTTACTAACGGAACCATATATACTCTCGTATCTGTGGTAACATTTTGAAGATATTTAGACCTATTTCAGGGAATTACCAAGAAGATAGAGGCAGCAAGGTCCTCTGGAACGTTGGTAAAATTCGTATTCAACACCGCCAAAACTTCAAATCCTACAAATTGTAGGTCCGTTGTTCATATCGACAATAGAGATTTGAAACGTTGTTTAAAAACACATTGGTTGATGAACTGGGATACTAGGCTAACGTAGCGTTAATGAAATACCGGAAATTCATAACAGCCAACACTGAAACACAGAAAATCTCCTCTTCGGCGCTGATAATATTAAAAATGAACTGAGATTCTTACATTTAAAACCATGAAGTCACTGTTCAAAGTTTTTTACCTGCGGTTTGTTTAATGACGTTGTCAGTAGGTAATCATATAAAGCGTCATTTTCTAGAGATTCAGAGCCGGGTTTGGCAGCCATACAAGTGATTAATCTGAGTTATTTGGAGACGCTTTGCCAACTGAATGTGTGCATAGAATAGAAATGAAAGAATAAGATAAGTTTTCAGCAACCAAAATTAATTTTCACAAATGAAATGTTTTGTTTCTTAATTATACAAACGCCGTTTTAAAATTTCAAACAAAAATTCTTCTTGCCCTGGATAATTACGAACACCAAATGGCTAAGGTTCTACGACGTAGAACATCGAATTCTGGCTTGTAAATCTGAAAGGAGATTGCTCTAGGTGGCAACTGAGATGCTCTGTTCTTACTTACCTCTCTATAACGAGGGAAATCGTGTTGCCCGCATTTCTGAACAGATTCTGAGCATCCTCGTGTCTCAAGTCCCGGCTGTCATAATCAACGATCTTCTTGATAATGTCGCCACGACGCAGTTCAGCGCCCGCGGGCGTCCCATCTTGTGCCTGTCGGGAGAAACACAGCAATAGACAAACGTGTCTCAAATCTGTCTGACGCAGACAGCAGAACACTGGTGATTGTGGTGGAAAAATTAGGCGTAAAACAGGCTTTCAGGAAAAACAAATGCGTTGCTGGTGATAACAAAAGCTTTGTCATGTGCCTGAATTCCACTGGAACAGATTTCAGTGCTGTTGAAACCAAATTTTAAGTACATGCGTACTTTGAACGACGTGCATTAACTGAACGCATTTGGAGGAGATCCTGAGTCCATCCGGACAAAGTATTTTCATTAGAGACCTAATTATCAAAATTAAAAATTAACACGTGTTTCGTCAATTGGAATGAATTTACTTTCAAACAGCACAGAAGGATATATATGTCCAAGCGGGATTCGAAATCAGACCGCTTGGCCACTGCAATCGGAACAAAGAACATGTTCAGTAGACCCTAAATGTTTTCAAATTCCTATTTTTACAAACTTTAATTCCGGAACCGAAATTGCTAGACTAAAACGTGAGATTCAGTGGTTATTGGACGACGCTGCATGAGCCTGATATACAAAAGCACAATGGTATTAAATATAAGAAGAAACTTTCACATCTGTGTGCAAGTAAGTTTTACTAAATCAGCCCAAATCCTCGACAAATTAAAAACAAATTTCATCGCCTGAAAATGTGAAAAAAACTCGAATTTTTTTACTGTACATAAGAATGCAAGTCTTTTCGTTGTCAACTTATTAAAAACTAAGTTGGGAACTTACATAATGATATTTAACTATGGAAACAGGGAAGATTTTGAAAGACGTACATTTTTAATTTTTTTAATATAAATTTATAATAATTACAAAAATATTTTTATCAATTATTTCATTGAAATAAAGTTTAATTTACAACAGCTAATTTAAAGTACATACATTGAAATAATACAAGCAAAGGTGATCTGGAAGTTAATTAGTACTTACGTCCAATGAAATTACGAACTGGCGAAGTATTTTATTACAAATAAACTAAAAAATTAACAATTAAGACCAGGTACGAGTTTCTCGTTTTCTTTACCCGTTGTACACTCTGTGAAAAAATGTGTTAAACATTTCAAAGCTCGAAATTCGAGATGATGAAAACGAACAGCTGGCGTCGTAAATGCGTAGTCTATTTGTCCTGTGTGGCTTTCCTCTGCCTTCTATTAATTACAGTTTTACGTCAGACGTGTATTAAGCAAAAGAGAGAGAGAATTGTCTAACTAGTAGAAAAGAAATGGAGAAATGCTCACTGTTTTGTCTATGAAGGAGGAGAAGACATCATAAAGTTCTTAATAGACTCTTTTGAAAATGACGCGAAGAATTTAATAAAATAGTTTCATTAACTCAATAATGAATATCCAAATTTAATAAGTTACCACCGAATTGTTCATAAAATTCTTCTGTGTTGTAAACTACATTAAAATGACAGCTATGATGTGTGTGATTTTATCCGGAAGAAATTCTGTCGTCACCACTGACAACTCAAAACGTTTCTGAAAGAAATAAGTACTCATTTGGATGACAGCAGAGATTTTGGTAATTTCTTGTATAAACTGAGAATTGAATTTGAAAGAAAATTTCCTAATGTATAAAGTGAAGATTTCGCGGCGACAGTTGTTACTCAGCAGCCTTGAGGATGAGAGCAGAGATTGTTCTCGAAACGCTGACAGAAGATACGGTTTATTCACCGTTCAAGCCACCTGACGCGGATTGTAACCCGAGAATATTTCATCAAGATATCCTAACATTCAACATCACCCACATCAGCTGGCCAATTTTTCTCGGAAACGAATGGCAAATGAGCGCTGAAGTAGAAGTTAGGTTAGGTTAGGTTAGGTTGGGTTAGGTTAGGTTAGGTTAGGTTAGGTTTGTTTAGGTTAGGTTATGTTAGGTTAGGTTAGGTTAAGTTAGGTTAGGTTAGGTTAGGTTAGGTTAGTTTAGGTTAGGTTATGTTAGATTAGGTTATGTTAGGTTAGGTTAGGTTAGGCGGAAACAAATATTCAAATGAGAAAGGATTAATTGCAATTCAGTATAACTTCTTCTTTAAAGAAGATTTTAGCCAAGTTTCGTCGGACCTTCATCGTGAGCAGTTGTGGAAAAAATCTGAAAGTGAAAATAAAATCCCTCGTCTGAAGGAACGAGTTGTACAACTGAACACTACAATAGGATAAACATAAATTTCTGAGCCTGCCATTTGTAAAATAAAATTTATAAAGAATAGACGCAGGTTTCGAGTTACAGGCAAACACTTAAAGGATTTAATGAGAACCATTTTAACTAACATATCTCCGAACTCCAGCCTTAAGACACAGAGTAAGAGATGCCACTTTTCCTATTGAAACCCTGATATAAGTGTGAGAGATTTTTTCGTGAAGTCAAGTGATTCTTTCACTCATTTGTCTCTGAGTTTTGCTAGATAAATACTTCAAATATATTTATAAAATTTACTTCGGACCTGTGACGTTCAAGCCTAGTAATTTTCTCAATTTGACCGAGACAAAAATTAATTATCGACCCTGCCCAAGATCTTAGCAGTTATTACGTCATATTTGTTTAAAACAATTTTAATCTTGTATAATTCAGGTTATTTACATTTAAAACGGACATTAATTTAACGTAGTATAAGTTACATAATATTTGTACCTGAATGTAACATAATTAGAATTAGAGATGTAAGTTGAGACAAACACCTAAAAGAATATTAACTTCTTTAGATCTTATTTAATAAATAATACGTTTAAAATTCCAAAAGATATGATATGATATCTTTGGTGTCTCCAGCCAGAGAAAGGCCTCGCGTAAGAATTTCACTGGGACCCAACAAATCTGCAAGAAAGTTTCGTTTTGTCATAGAATGACTTACAGTCTGAGTTGAGGTTGTTAAAATTGGACAAAAGAAACTTCAGACTCAACACTTTACACTAAGCACACCACGAGAACGCATTATGGGCTGGACCGTTCGTCTGTCTGTCCTAATGATCCAACTCGACAACTGGGCTGATTGTGATGAAATATGGACGAAGGTTACGCCAATGAGGACTATCTCAAAATCGTGTTTTTAAATATTCTACGACGGTTAACAAAATAGCGAATGATGAAATTTTTGAGGTGCTGCATTCTGGCATTCAAAGTCGGTATAATCGAAGTTCGAGTTTGTTTATTAGTTTAAAATGGCTATCATTATTACACAGGTAGCTACTTTTAACATTATACAATTGTTCCTATGGGTTGGAGGGGGGAGGATTATACGTGTTTTTTTCTATCGTTCGTTTGTCTTCTACCCTTCATGAGTCCAGATAATCGGCAGTTTAATGTATCTGTGACAATTTTCTTTTCGTGAAAATTTGCAGACACCATTGTAACCTGTCACCACATCGCAAGCAACAATTTCTTTGTCAGCCCAAACTCAGGCGGGAGCTACTACGATCCTACCATCAAGTCGTGGTGGTCCATAGCTCATAACTCACTGTCCAACGGGTGTTAAATAAATCCAAAGACCTTTTAAATGAGACGAATGTTCGATATGAGGTTTCTTTTTACAATCTCCGAGGGTAAGATTTACGGGTGTATCAGCATTTGCTTGTTTACATGTTGTAAATATTATAATTACATCTGTTATCAGAAGAATGAGCTAGTAACATGGTCCACAGAGTAACTGTTGCTAGTAGCACGTTTAATATTCTCGTGTCTCTCCCAGTGAAAATGACTGTTAGAATAATCAATTCCGTGTGTATGATTCATTTAGGAAGATTTTTTTAAAAATTAATACTCACATCTAAAATAACGAAGGATTCTTTCAAAAATTACAGCGAATTTTGTTACAAATCGGCGCTTACGATGCAAAATTTTGTGTTTATTTCCAACTTTTAATAAAGCTGCCATCTGCCGAGGTCACGTCTTACGTAATATCATCGTGACAGACGTTTGAGGCAACCTATATGAATTATTCTACTAGCAAAACAATGTCTTGCACTTTGGATGGAGATACTGACGAAGATCACGAAATCGTGTATCACATTTCTTGGCCGAATCAGCAGAGTTATAAATATCGTATAAAACTGCCTACTTACCCTGATTATGACGATGGAAGAGCCCACATCAACGCCTCCCACGATTCTTACGCCCCAGGGTGTGTTGCGGGAGGATCGGCGTAGGGTTACACCAAAAACGTGGGGCTTTCCACCCCCGCCCACAGCGCTCATCTCAATTTGTCTCACGAATTCTTGTTACAAATCACGCTAACACATGCAGAAAGGGGAAAGTGTAAGCCTCTGCACATTCACTGCGATATTATCAGAGTAATTTTAATATATGTTATCGCATTCCGCTGTACGCAATATTTCTATAAATTTTTTCAGTCTATAACCACGTACACGAGAGGACATCAGAGAACTGCGCTCCGTGTTTAACAAGCGGGAATATATAGTTGTATAAATATATTACTGCAAAGAAATTGTACTTGAACCTTGACATTTAAAGCAGGAAAACGTACGCACGCTTCAAACTAAGTCACTGCTCTGTGTACGCCCTGTTTCGCTGTTTTCGTTTTAGAAATTCTGTCATCTTCAGGTGACTCTTTGAATTTTTCAGCATCTGACATGGAATTTTGTGGGTAAAAACGTAAACAACATTATGCCACATGTTTCAACCAAAATTACGTTTTAAAGTAATCAGTTTAGGCTATTTGTTTCAGTATAATAGCTGTAATTGCAAATAAAGAGAGATATCTCACCAGCTCTTATAGAAATGTTCCTACATAATAATTAATTACAGGCCTACCAATTATATTCGAGTCCAGTTTTTATTATAACGTTTGGTATCTACTGATTTTCATTTACGTTGTCTCATAACTCATTCTATATTAATTTGCTTTAATTAAATGTAAACGCAATAGGAACGTAGAATCAAAACAATTATTCAGAAATACTGACAACGCCAGTGATAACATTAAGCATGAACATTGTTTTATTAATATTATGAAATTATTGATCTTGAAAATAAAAAATAAGTTTTAAACCTTTGCTACTCTAGCCTAATTTAATTTATTTATATAAAATCTGGCAGTCTAGATCACGTGTATTAAAAAGTAGTCCAATATTTAATGTTCATACCGAAGTTATTTATGAATCTAAAAATTTAACACTCGTTAACTTTATTATTCGTAACACATAACTGCGGTTAAATCTTAACGCGGTTTCGAAAACATATTTTATAGTATTCTGTTACATGACGTAACGAAAATGTAATAACATTCTGATACGAGGTCACAGTCCGATCTATTATATGTTAAAGTAAACAATAATTTATATAGAAATGATTTAAATAAATTCGTAAATGAAGAAAGTAATACTCCATTCTTCAATAAATAAACTGGAAATAATAATTATTACAAGTTATAGGAATTACTTATGCATATAGTAAAGTTTCTTTGAGTATTTTATTTTACGATATTAATATTACTTATGCATATAGTAAAGTTTCTTTGCTTAGTTTATTTTACGATATTAATAGATAAAGTTGAAAATTCCTTGCTTCTTTATGTGTCAATGATATTTCGAGATTTACACAATACGTGATTCAGTTGTAACGAAAACAATTTTCTAGAAACTTCATCGCTATTTCAGATGCTCAGATTTTATTCAGATTTTGCCTCGGGGCGTAAACGTGGAATTCGTAAAGCCAGCAGCCACGTCTACCAACCGGAAAATACAACGCACCTCTTGTAATACACAAATCTGTTATATCCATCTGAAGGTTTCCACATCAACACTCAGATCCATAACAATCACAAAGCTCCATTGACAGACAAGTATAAAACGTAAACTATCCCGATTGATAATACATACAGTGAATGATAATATTCTGGTAAGAATATTATAACGTAGAGGCTTACAAATGCTTAAATTTGGCAACCTTTTCCCCCTTCAGGTTGTCATCACATGCAGTAACTGAATCACACCAATTTGTAAATGTACACGTCTGATCACCATGGTAACTCAACTATATACTGCAGTCTTCAAACCTACGAACTACTAGCCTAGTCCCAAAAAGATTTTCCTGTTGGTTTTGTTGCTTTGCAGTGATTACGTGTAGTCCATAAGGGCTTGGGCTTTAAAGCTACGCGAGATGTTTCTACGGCCGAGCGGCTAAATATAACCTCATTTTGCTGCCGGTCGCGAAGCTCTGATGAAAGTTTCTGACTGGGCAGTAACTTTACGTGGCCAATGCCAATGGCAGTTCTAACAGACAGCAAGCAGGAAGCCTGGAAACCAACTATGTGCTGTGAGCAACGTAAACCTAGATTTTCATTTCTTTTACGCGGTCTAGGTCAGTTTCTAAAATTCTTACGTGATTGTAAACATTTAAGAAGGGGAAACCAAGGTCAGAAACGTTTCAACAGCCGTGTTACACGTCCCGTGGGTATGGCTGCTATGCCGATCGTATTTTGTTTTTGTCTCAGACCGTGACGAACGTTGTTGTTCGATGTTTTTATTTTGGTATGCACTTTCATTGATTAACGTTGTACTAACCTGTGATAATATGAGATGTATTCATCTCTACTTGAAACTTCTATAAAAGTACAATCTGACAACAGTGTTTGAGCTTTGTAATATCCTCATCTCTTGAAGCAAAATATTAATTTTTACTCACTGTAAGGTTAATTTGCTGTAACTGTCTGGGCTTGAAATATCAACAATTACATTTTTAACCCAACTCCCTTCAACTGATTTTATGTGTTAAAGCAGAAACGTATTTTCACAGCTGAATGTTCCACGGAATTTTCTGTATAGACCGTGGAAAGGAATGGCATGGCAATGTATCGGACTTGATTATAATGCTTACCGTTTCATTTATACTGCCACATTGTAGCGGACGGCAGCTAACACTCGGATTCCCATTAACATAACATAGGGAATATTTGACGTCATCGTGGGCGTAATGCGAGGATGACGGAGAAACAAGAACGCTGTATAGGAGTTTGATTACGCGTGTATAATTCCACGTCTGTCTTGTAGCGACTATTTCCTTTCCTTCTCGCTCAGCAGCGCCATTTACTTCTTCGTCGTGTTTCGCTTGTTTCACACGCCGTCTGTCTGTCTCGTCTTTCAACCGGCAGGTCGTGCTGCCATCGATCAGCGGTCTTGCAAACTATGTTCTCTCGACAACGTGTGAACGGATTTTCATGAAACTTATTACGGTGCTCGCTGTTTTCATGTGCAGTGAATGCAAACAATAGGACTTGCAAATTAATATTTAAAACCATAACAATGCATATATTTTTCGGATATCTTTCAGTTTTAACCAACGCGTTCCATAGCCACGAGGTGCTACATAGTTTCGTCAATATTTTTATCTTGGATTTTTCCAACATTTCATCTGCATATTGTTTAACGTTCTCTGCTAGATTTATAATAATCGTGGCTATGTATTTATAGAATAAAAGGTATAATGCGTGTCTGAAAATACATTACATATTATTTTAGCGGAAATAATATATTTTACAGAAAATTTTTGCACGTGGTGTACAATATTTCTTGGTTTTTTTTACAGTTTAACATAGATTTGTCTCATGAACGAATATGTTAAATGTTGGTTTTATTTCGTCAATATCTAAAAACGCATTACGTTAAATAACCCACAACGTGTTTGGACTTCTTTGTCTGAAATTTCTAGATCATTTGTCAGATGGATATTAAATGTTTGATTAGCGACATAACCACGTTTCCCAACTCCTGTCGGTTTGAAATGTAATCTTCTGACTTATGACAGTGTTCCACAGACAGTTTACCCTAAATATGGAGGTAACAGGTTCCTCCGAAACGTTAGTAACCACCTACAACACTGTGATGCGTCATAACCTAGAAGACGACGATCCAAATTCTCACCGCCTTGTAACCATAGATATAATTTCCGTTTTTGTGAATAAACCAGTTCGATGATCGCGGAAAATCTTAGCCGGTGTGAAGAATAAGAAGAACGTTTCGTGTTGTTTTCAAGGTCGCGTGAAAGCTGCCGGTGCTTGCCTTAACAATAGCTGAGACGCTCGACAGAGCCTGGCGCGCGATGACCGCGGCTAAATTTGGCTACATCAGTCACCGGAAACTACGACTGTCCTCATTGGTCGAAGAATTACAACCTGTGTTTTGATTGGCCAATATTTTATTGTGCGCCGATTTTATGTGTCACACACAAACAAACGCCTTCTCTGATGCGTTCCAGATCCCGTCGCTGCCTTGTTAGAATTTGTAACAAATACGACTGGAAGGTAAATCATTTTTCACGGCGTTGCATCAGTTGCAGAGGCTATTTAACAACGAATAAGACGTGAAGATGAACGTAAAGATGTCTTTGCCTTGTCATTGATTGTTCTACTGGGTTACAACGCCTTGTGGATCTGTAGATAGTTTCGGAGATACAAACTGTCTGCATCTATTCGAACACGGAGACAGTACGTTCTTCCTATAAAGACACAGCGTTACAGCCCAGAAGACGAACATCGAAAGAAACTTTAAACGCGTTGTCTTGGGTTGTCTTATAGAATGTTCATCTCCTTCTCGTTTAGATATAAATGGAAAACGTTCTTTTATCTAAATGAATCTCCCTGTTTGTTAATTTCTATGGATATTCCACTGATCCTTACACCGAAATCTGCTTATACTTTTGTAAGCTTGCCTCATCTGTTCAAAAACATCGGAGAATAATTACAATTTTATTGTAACGTGCTGACCAAGCCTTTTGTATAAGAGAAATGTGATATCAGTTCACTGTATAATCAGCTTTTAACTGCAACGAAGGCACAACCATAAGTTTTACAAATCATAGTAACAGAAATTAAAAGGTTTTCTGCTAAAATAACCTAATTTAATGACATGGCCACACTTAACATCAAACGAAACCCTTTCAAAAATTATTACAGAATTAGTAAAAGGACGGTGTATTTCTTTCTGAAATTTAGTAACCGGCAAGAATCTTAATGATTGACCTTGAGACAATTCAATTGTCGATCAGGCCTCTACTATCTAAGCTAAAAATATCACGCCTTTTTCTCTGAAACCAGCATAAGATTATTTCGCATTAATTTTAATTCATACCAACGTCTCCAAATGAAAAACACACGCGGCTGGTACCTGATGGTCCAATTTGTTTGACCCCAAAATTTGGAAAGAGTAATACAATCCCCCCGTATCACCTACAGTCTACAGACAGGGAGAAAATCCCTGCTAGGAATTCGATATACGCGCATGCGCGACATTTCGCGGTGAGTGACGACCGATCCTAAAAACATTCGTTCCACAACCACTGAACGAACAACAGACGACAGGCTTTCATGTGTTTTAATGGGTACAGCTTTAAGATTACCTCACAGCGGCACAGCGATTTAATCTAGAATATTATCGCAACACCCGCAGAACACATTAAAAGTGCGCTCACTACACGCTAATTTTAACTGCTTGATGTTTTCAGTCTGTGTAGTAGCGTAAAACTCTGACGTGTCACACTCCCCACCAATAGCAGCCCTCTAGTCCACCAGGCAGTAAACATTCCCCCCCGCACCGACCAGAAACTTCCCCCAGCAGGGATTTTCTCGTGGTCGGTGGACAGTACCAACCCACCGGTGCCCGTTGCATGACAAGCTTTCTGATTGATGTTGGTACCAACCCATGTTTAATGAGCGGGAACCATGGGTTCAGAATCTATATAGCCCTCTTGCACACCCACTGGGAATACAGCGTCATCGAAAACTCATTCATTTAATTCACGAATTAGAACTTTTCTCCGATCAAACATTTCCACAAAATGATTTTGTCAGCAGTTGTTTGCTGTAGATCCGTTGAAAACAGGAAAATAATCTGAAATTAAGTCATGATGCTGAATGACCTCGACAAGGAACATGAGCTTTCTTGCCAAATAAAATAAATTTATGGGTTAGTTACATAATGTTAACGACACGATGTACAGAGATAAAAGTGACAAGATATTTTCTGTACAATAACGTTATATAATACTCTACAGTCATAAAATAAATAAATTTATTATATTTTAAAATATATAAGTGTTTGTAAAATATCTATGGCTCGTATAAAAAATGTCTTTAAATTAAACTAACTATTCAAATTGTGGTCTTCAGGTCTGTTAGCCGCGTGGTCTTGTAGGAATTATTAAACCAGAAAACCACAAACGCTTAAGAACTAAAATTCTCATATTAAGTATCAGTTGTTTAGCTGAAAATCGTAAAAATGAGGTTATGTTACATCTGGAACTAAATACTTCAGTCGATTGTCTTCTGTGTTGTCAGATCGATAGTGTTAATCGTTCTTCCTATTTTGAAGTTTCAAGTTTCAGACAATAAACTGTCAGAAATGCGGAGATAATGGACGAGTAGTTACTGAAGGCAAAGTAAGTTTGCTTAACACTTTGACCCGAAACGTCCTTAACGATTATTGGCAAGCAACCCAACTGCGAAAATGACTTTCAATAGCTTCTAATGTTAAGCACAGCAGCCAGTTCAAGATGTCAAGAATAACAGTGTAGCCCCACTTTAAACCCGAAATAACTTACTCGTGTATTGATGTAAGAGGCAGTT